AAATGGGGCAGCTATTCGGATAGCCACTCTTGATTTACAATATCCATTATGACTTGTACACATGTGCGCACACTATCCAGTCATTAATGTTCAGTCATCTATCAATAATACAGCTTTCGGCAGAATCATGATGCTGCGTATTCCAGAACATGATACATGGCTGTCACAACGTCCGTGCTGCGTCACACCGAGTTCTACGGCGCTCGACACATCAAACTCAAGAACTGATTGCTTCAAAAACAAAATAAGCTAAGGCAACTCTATAGGGGCCTTCTATTACATCCGGAAACTACACCTGGAAAGTCGCTCGTTGCGAGTAAGTACTCAGACACTGCCAATGTCGCTTGCTCTGATTTCAAACGCTAGTTGCTGTTTGTTGGGCTGCTCCACCTGTTGAAACAGGTGACGAGCTTGCGATCCTTGACATAGTGTGGATGGATGAATTCCTGCACCACTTTGAAACCATGGGAAATAATTGTTTGTTGGTATTCACAAGAAAATCATCATTCCAGGGATTCTTAGGTGGTGCAGGATTTCGTCCATCTATCGTATCCCTGACATGTGAGACGCCGCTAGTGAAAAACATCTATTCAAAAGCTGCGCTCCCCACAAATGGACAGCCAATTTGGTTATTTCCGCACACACAAGGCCTAAAAGAACACATTGAATTGCTCGAAGTAAAGAAGCCCTCTGACATTCTGCAACCAAGGGACCCCTTGGTTGGTCCCATGATGGCTTCCGTTCACGACCAAACCAAAACATCTCCCTAATTATCCTTCACGCACTGGGGAATCGGGTTGGCACCCTTATTTTGAGCCACGCCTGTCTCACACCCCCTTGCTAGGACCTCCACACACCCGGCTAGACAATCCTAGAGTCTGTTCACAGGTCTGAATCAAAGTTGATGGCCCCTTGAATCAGCTGAGCTGTGCCCTCAAAAAAGGGGATGCGAGACTCCTCGACGGGAAGGTCAAGACTCCAGATCTTCTCCAACACTTGTCAAAATCTACCTTTTCCAAGTCCTTCAGGGTGAATGATCGGGCCAACAAGTACAGCGGACGTAGAAGATACACTCCCACCAAACATGGAAGTGCACAAAGCTCTGTAGAAAGACTACCTTCCTCTTCGAAAGGGCTTTGTGCACTTCCATGTTGGTCGGGTAAGAGTTTCGCTGCGGGGAATGAAAGGTTGCAAGTTCGCCAAGTGTGAAGCGAAGCAATGCTGGGAGATCTGCAGCTGAGCCCACGGGCGCTTCAGCTGTCATCGCCCAGCTAGGGGGGATCACCAAACGTCCCGCCTCAGAATCGAGTGCTCTAGATAACATGGCCGAGCAGCTAAGTTTCTGCCTATCACAGCGCCACTCATGCCTTTCTACCATTTGTTTGTTGCGTTGACTGGTCCTGCTCTGGGTCGTCCATGCTTGAGAGATGATGTCGGAGCTGTTGTCTATCACTTCTTTCGTTTGGCGCTCTGGGTTGACATTCCAGGTTGGTGGTAGTTGTATTTATGCATGGGGAAGTGCGAGTGTCTGTTCATGTTTGTGCGTGTATGAAAGTTGTATATAACAGTGCGTATGTGTGTGTGTGTGTGAGAAGCTGTGTCTGTGTGTGCACGCACAGGTGTAAAGGTGTGTAGGTGTAGGTGGGCGCGTAGGTGAATGTATGCTGATGTGTGGCGGTGCACCTGCATCAGTGTGTGTGTGTTTCCGGATGTGTGGGGTGTCTATGTATGTGGGCAAGAAAAGAGCGTCTCTCTCTCTCTGTCTCTCTTTCTATATATATATGGTTTTTATTGACCTGGCCGTAGTGCAAATTGCAACCCACAATTAGACTGGCGACTGGCAGCAGTTGTGCAACAACTGATTTGTCCACACGTTGCCATACTCATCGAGGTGTTAGCTAGGATATAGCTTGCAGCTTCTATTGCTTCAACCACATAAAACATCCCACCTCTCCCCCTACTTCCCATGAGTCACGACCTCCATCGGAGCACGTCAACAACACGCGAACATGTGCAACAAATGCTGTTGCTTGAATAATACCCGTAATCTCACCGGGCTGCACCGCGCCATTTCTTCACAAATCTCAGATCTTACCAGAACTACTCGCTGTCCAACTACCACGGCAGTCGTAAATCAAGTCATTCAACGGGTATCAGGACTTGTGGGTTCGGGAACTGTATGTCCAAATTACTCTCTGTCTCTCTGTAGTTCCATATCTTATAATATATGTTAAGCTTGTGCGCACAGTTTCTGCGTGAGTACAGCATGATACAGTGGTGCGAAACAATAAAACGCGCTAATGACCCTACACTGTTTACTCACAAACGATGCATCATTTGCTACGTCAAACAGTGTCAACACTTGTCCCGTTGCCAAAATCAGTTGCAGGGTCGTTCAAGCTTCCCAAGTGTGCCACTTCTTGGCTGTAACTTATACATCAAACCAGCAACGTGACGTGCACTGGCCGCCTCAAACAGATATGTAATGCCAGGAGCATGACGTTTGCAAGTCCTGCCTGCGACTCCATCATGCCAGAGGTCAGAATGCAGGTTTCGAAGTACCTTGGCGCAGGTAGCGTTGCTCAGCGTGATTCGAGGTGGGAGGAGCTAAGCATGGTCAAAGCCCTCCAAATACGAGCCTCAGGCTAACACTCAGCAACTCGGCTGGAACTGGTCGCAATAGATTTCTGTCACTATTGAGAAGGTGTGCCATGCTGGCCCTATGCTGAACCTGGTGCTATGGTGGAAGTCTAGTGCCAAACCGCGTGCAAGCTGCATGTTTGGTGCGTGACTTGTATATCCAAAAGTCACAGCGTTGATCAACAGCCAGCCGCCGATAAGGAAGGCCCATCCAATAACCCAGCTGATCAGCAAATCAGAGCACAATCAAAGATGGTATACGGAGAATGAGCTGACCAACACCTTAAACTGACGTATTTCCAAGGCGACATCTGTAACATTGTGCACAGTGGCGTGTTCATTCCCGGAAGTATCAATGGTCGCTTCAAACAGCTCAGTGGCATGATGGGAAACTGATTATCACTTTGCTGGAAATGAGAACTGATCAGGTTCCACCCGAATGCCTCATCGACAGAAACAACGGCTGACAAGACAGTAAATTCATTGCAAGCACCGGCACTACATCGATCACGGTAGCTTTCAATACAAATGTTGACACACCGGATGCTGTTGTAGGCAAATAGGACAGGGAAGATGCTTCTTGGGCCCCGGGAATGTGGAAGGCCGCTGCCAGCCGCAGAGTGCTGCTTTTTGGTAAATGGCCATTGGCATGTGTAGTTGATCTGCCTAAATCAAAACCAGTCACAGATCCGAAACTGAGGTGTTCAACCAACCGGAACATCCCAGGTCGGCTGTTGACAGGTCTTGCCATGACTTCAGCAGATCAAACTCCCTGATGTGAAATCCGCAGGTTTGGCCAGGTCCGGCGACACCGGCACCTGTACTTTGAGCGCATCCTTGCCAAGCCTTTGGCCCCAAGTACTTCGAACCACAAAAAAAATCACAAGTGGTGTCTTTCCAAGGGAGGAATGCCTACTACGAGCCAGTGCCTCAACTCTGGCGCTTGCACAACTTGTATGATGTGACTATAAGTGAGCCATTGTCTGCTGTGGACTTGTGTTGCGCTTACTCCGGCAAAGCTACCAGCACTGCTTCTGCTTCCCCAATGCTGCCTTACATGGGGGCCGTCGCTCTAGCTCTAGTCAGCGAACTTGCTGACCATCAGAATACTAAGCTTGTAGCTCAACTTTCAAGACCTGGGCGGTATTTGCTTGGTTGTGTGGTGCCTGCTCAGAAGCCTTTTCACTGCTTGCTTGCGCTAGACGCCTGCCAACACGCTCATGCGCCCACGCGAAATTGCGGCGTGAAACTGCCACTTGCGAGTACAATCGTAGAACACGAGGTGCACTTTGGCAGCAGCTTGAATATTTTAATTTTAGCTAGTGAGTGCAAGTGGAGCAGAAACACACCTTGGCAGCCCTCAGGTTGGATCTTGGACGTCATGCCTACCAGCTGCGTTCGCGAAGCCTATCTGAAATCTGCCTGAATTTTCCCGATTTTGGGAAAGGGTGTACCAAACCAACCGATTTACATCATTCACCCGAAGTTAAACAAACATATGTCCCGTGACAACTCAACCTATCAAATGGTCGCGAGGCTGCAGAACACAAGCTCCGCGAATACCTACGCACGCCTAGTTGTGGGCCTGTCAGTCAAATGCCTACGCAACATGAAGCACATGTTCCCACGAAAAGACGTGGGCCTCCCTTCCTGGAAATGCGCCCGCCCTGGGAGCTGGGCCTCTAAGCCGCAGGGACGCACAGTCCGCAAACTCCGAAACGTGAGACTCGCTCTGGAAAGCGAAGAGACGTGATCCAGGGCAGTGCAAGAGCAAAGCGAAGAAAAGGGTGGCATTGGATCCGCGTCTAAGAACAGTGAACGACCTGGAGCAAATCTGGACAGCTTGCCCAACCGGATGGCTGTCATGTGGCCAGTGCGGCTTGACGACGCATTCTCCTGAAACATGGTTGGAAGTTGGAACTTCCTTGGATGCCTTGGATACCACTCGGGGCTCAAGACCGGTATTCAATAGAATTGATTCCTGGCTCAGAAGAATACAAATTTGGTATGAGTTCAACTCCACGAAATGAAATGGGCAATATGTCTCTGTCTAGCTGAAAATTATTGCATGTGAGTCCACCATGCCTACGAGGTTTATCGCATGTCCGCCTCATGTTGACTTTTTTGGAAGTGGCTCGACACTTGCCATGGTACGAAACATGGTACTGTCCATGAGATCTTCAGTGGAGCAGGCGCAGAGAGGTATATGATTGATGCAAGGATCATCAAGCCTTGAAGCCTGTGAGCCCGAGGCAAATGAGGCCCACTTTTGCTATGGCTGCAACCACTGGATGTGTCAGAATGAGACTCCTCCAAAAAAAAGAAGTTTCCCTGGCTTCCTTTCAACAATCCTAGGGCTGCCTAGAGACACAGTCTTTAAATGCGGAGCAGCCTTGGAGCCGCATGGCTCCTCTGAAGCCAAACATCGGAGCGTACGCCGCTCACTCGCGAGGCCAGTAGTAGCTGGAGATGTTCTTGGCCTGTCAAACGCCCAGCGACCACGTCCAAGGCTGGCAGGTGACCCAGGGCAGTGACAAACCAAAGTATCCACCCGTGCTTATGTACTTATGTCTGTCTGTATGTATGCATGTATGTATGCAAGTATGTATGTACGTATGTATGAATGAATGTCTCTGTGTTTGCAAGTTGCTTGTGTGTCTGTTTAAGTGTATGTTATATCTTGCTTGTTTGTCTGTTTGTTGTTTGTGTGTTTGGTTGTTTGTTTGTGTTCTTGTGTTGTTCGTTTGTGTGCTTGTGCTTGTGCTTGTGCTTGTGCTTGTGCTTGTGTTTGTGCTTGGGCTCGTGCTTGTGCTTGTGCTTGTTTGTTTGCTTGCATGCAAGTACCTACGAGTGTATGTACCTACGTACGTATGTACTACTGTACTATTGTACTACTATATTACTGTATTAGTGTATTTCTGTGTTACTGTGATACTGCATGAGAGTATGACTGTATTGCACTATGAATGAAAAAGGAAACATGTATGTGTGCATGCATGAGTGTATTCATGTAGGAATGGCATCTTGCGATGTAATGCACTATAATGTTGATGTACTGTTAACGTCGGCGTGTTAACGAACAGCAATGTCAATGAAATGTTAATGTAATCATCGCAATTTAATGTTCATGCTATGTAATGTCATGTCCTGTAATGTCATGATTTGTACGGATGAAATCAAGAAAGACAGAACAAAAGACAGAAATACAAAAATAACAACCAAAGTCAATGCTGATTAATGTATGAATGAATGAATGAATGAATGAATGAATGAACGAATGAATTAATGAGTGAGTGAATGAATGAATGCATGCATACATGCATGAATGAACAAACGGAATCTAAATTCGAGCAGTTAGGTGGGGATTTCCCACTAAATCACAACAAGCAAAAATGTAAAATGTCCCCAACAACCACCATGTGTTAAGCCGAGTGGGAAGAGCGCAGGCAACGTGGGCATTGCCCCTGAGCCTTGTGAAAATAGTACACCTTGCCATTGCTCTTGGACACATGCTGCGTCCAGCCTCAGTCGTTGGGCTATTGTTTCATCCTGTGGTGCGGACACCCTTACGGGGAGGGGTTTTCCAAAGTTCTCTCGTTGTGAGAGACAAGCAAACCACGGTCAAAAGTACCTGTTCCCCCAAGAGAACATGGCAAATTTCGCGCGTTCCCCGGTTTTTGTGGGAGTGTTCAGAAGGTCCCCGTCCCATGTCTGAACATTTGAGTGAGATCGTAATTTATATCTTCAGAGGCACTGGACTTGGAGTTATGTGAACTGCAACTAATTTACAAACATAACTGACGGAATGACCTTGATCTGACTTTCTTAAGATGTGCAGATTCAACTGTCATATGCGCGGTGTTAACAATTGGATTCCATGCCGTTATCCTTGGACAAACCTTCAAGCCCTGCTAAGGTGTCCAACCACGATATTTGACTGCACGAAGAAACAGCATCTCATGCGTCCAGGATAGGCCTTGTCTTCAACAGTCTGGCAATCTCTGAAAGCTCCGCAAACGCTATCTCCAAAATGCCGGAACTTGCTTTTTATGCTTGGGCAAAGAGCAAGACCACTTACAAAGCGGGTAGGTCTCAAGATGTTTCAGGAACCGAGTTCCAGTGCTTGTACTTGCGATGGTGTAAGTGTCCAAACAGCTAACGTGCACCATCCAAATGGATCCCCATGACACCATCCAAATCAACGATCCCCAAAACACCATGAATCAATCCCGAATGATTTGAAAGGATTTAAACCGGCCCGAGGGAAGCCAAAATCGAAATCACAGCCGATGGGAATCGCGGAAAAGGAAAGGTTCAGGGAGACACATGAATGGGCTAGGAACATGTGATGAAACTGATGCGTCGCGCAAACCATACCTTGTTTGACCTGACCGGGAATGCTGAGGCTGCTCCTGTGCCTATCCTGGAAGCGTGCTGGTTTTGTCCTGCCCTGACCTGGGCCTGCAGAAATTGATCATTGCTTTCCCGCTGGGACCCCTGGGAGGCCAGGAATACAAATCGCTTCGCAGTTCGAAACGGCCTCAAGAACCAAAGTCCATGGCTTCAAAACGGTTGAACCATGTTGAACGTAACGCATGTTGCTCGCAACAGCTTCAGTTGCCTTCCTGCTTGCTAGCGCGCATCTGAACGCTAATGTGAATCTCGGATAAATCTACCGCGGAAATCCGAGACATGTCCTTCGAAGAGATCGAGCCTCCGCTCAACCTGCTCAACAGGAATCACCCCGAAACAGCCTGGAAGCCTTGCTGGTGCTCTGTAGGGAATGAGGGAATGATCCCTATAAACCATCCAACTAACTGGTGGTTTCCTTCAAGGCCTTTTGTGGGTTCATTCGAGAAGCGGCCGCTCACCGTTGACGGGCCCGACGGGCCCGACGGCCCCGACGGGCCTGACGGGCCCGACGGGCCTGACGGGTTTCATGGGCCTGACGGGCCCGACAGCTTCAGGGGCTTGACGGGCCTCGCGTGTGTGACGGGCTCAACCTAACGGGACAACGGGCTCGACGGGCATGACGGGCTCCACGCGCTGGGCGGGCTTAAGCGAAAAGATAGATCATTGGCTAACGATATCCAACGATAGAACGACAGACAGATGGATCGATAGTGATAGATATTGTGACATGTTGGTAGGTATTGTGAGATGTTGATAGAAATTTACAAAGGTAAAAGAGATAGTAGATAGATAGATAGATAGATAGATCGATCGATAGATCGATAGATAAATAGATAGATAGATACATAGATAGACAGACAGACAGACAGATAGATAGGTAAATATAGATAGATAGGTACATAGATGGATCCGATTAACATATCTTGGCTAGGTGGTAGATGGATAAGTAGGTAGATGGACAGAGACAGGTAGACGAAACTGAAGAAGAGAAAGACAGACAGAAAGAAAGATCGGTAGGTAGATGGACAGATAGATGGACAGTTAGATAGGTAGACCGATGCATACATAGAAAGATACGCAGATAAATCGGTAGGAGAAATATGAAGATAGAAGGATAGCAAGATAAAAACAGAGGGAATCGAGAGATGGACCGATTAGATTGCATTAGAACAGGAAACGAGATAGGCAGATAGGCAAATGGATTAGATTGGGTTGGATTAGGTCAGAGCAGGTTGGACCAAACAAATAGGTCATTACGCCATGAGGCGCGTGGTGATTTTCAAGGTTCACCCTTCTTGGTTTCAATGCACCTGCCAATGATTTCAGCTTTTCTCAATGAACAACTGTGGTTTTAGAATTCCTCCAAACTAATGTTTTTCAGAGAAAACACCCTCCATCTGACATCATCTCCATTTGGGCTCAATTTAGGTTGTGCGCTCCAAACATTGAGCAAATCAGATCACACCACCAAATTTCTTTGCAGCTGCACATCTTCGCAAGCTGGTTGGCGGGCATCTACTTGATGCTCTCAGCCTCACCTCAAAAAATCGTGATATGATAAAGTTGGCGGGCATCTACCTGACGGTACATGTGGAGACAGTACATACGCAGCAGCCGCCAAAAGCAAAGGCAGCGCCTGGCGAGAACGCGAGACATAAGAGACCCACGAAGACCACAGAACGTTCTGATCATCACACAGTGCACGAAAGTCAATTGGAGATACGGTCAGGCATCGCAGAAGCAGCAATCGCAAAATCCAAAACTGGACCTGACACCGAAGCAGCAGCAAAGACATCAACCCCCCTCCCCCCCCCCACACCTCGCCAGAAAAACAGCTGAAACGCCGCGAAAAGACCAGAGGCCCTGTGGAACTAGCAACAAATACGTTGGGAAATGCGCAGATGCGTTGATGGACAAACGGATGGACAAACAAAAGAATGGACAGGTAGATGGATAGATGCACAAAGATCTCGGTGGATGAATAGGCGGGCAGATGGCTAGATAGAAAGATGAGTAGGCCAACAGGGCATGTAAGTGGAGCAGACACACACGCGCGCAACAGTATTAGCTTCGATCAAGTTCGAACCATGTGCCTAGCATAACCAGAGCTCCCGGCACCTGTTTTCCCAAAAGCATCTCTGGTGCGATGGGTGCGGGGAGCTTTCAACGGGGCCGTGCTGGTGGGATGTGGGCTCCGAGCGGCCGTGCTGGTGGGATTTGGAGGGCTTGGCTTCTGGGATGAGAGCGTTTGTGGGCGTGAGCTCGAGAAAAAAACAAGTAGGCTAGTTGGACATGCTCCGTGCCTGGCGTGGGTTGTTAGACAACGGCAGCCTCGTGTCAATGACTGCTTCAAGTTAATAGCCTCCTCTTTCGTCGGCCTTGACGGTCCCGACAAACTTCCCTGGCCTGACGGGCCCGACGGGCCCGAACAGTGAGAGGACATTGGCCGTTCATTCCCACATTCCCTACCTTTCGCACCAGCAAGAAGCTTTCGCACCGCTTGCCCGGCACCGACCCGCCTGGCGGCAGCTGCGGCATTGTTTCAGCCACCGGTGTTGCCGCCGCCACTGGCGGCTCGAACGTGGCGCGGAGCGTTTCCTGTGCAGTGGGCAAAGTCAGGTTGCAAATGAGCCCGTTTTGATTCGCGCTGAAAGGACAACAACAAGGCACCGACACGTTCTCACCTTCACCGTGGACAGGTGGTGACCTCTTGAAAATGGTAGCTGGCCAACCACCTGCTTTAGCTTTGCCGACATTCCTCCAGGAGAGCCTTGTTGCTGTCCCAAGTGCTTGTTCTTAAACGGCCCAACGTCATGCCAAGCTGGAAGAGTGATGAAACTTGTCATCAGGCTACTACGCGGCCACTTTGGCCCTTGCTCTCTTTCCTCTACTCACTTGTTGTCCGACTATGTGTGAATGCATGTATGCACGCATGTAACACGTTTGCATGTACGCAAGTATGCATGCAAGCATGCATTAATGTATGCGTTCTTGGGTGCACGCATGCAGGCATGATTGTTTGTGTAGGCAGGCGGGCAGGAAAAGACCTACCTGCCTGTGTTGGCTTGTATGTACGCATGTGTGTATCTGCATATGTGCGTAGGTGTGTGCATGTGGTTCTAAGTTCATGTGTTCATGTGTCCATGCGCATGCTTGCGTGTGTGGGTGAGTGTATCCGCGGGAATGTGCCTATGGGTCAATGTGGCCATGCATGAATCAGACACCTGTACAACTTGATACATGCATGTACGTTTGTATATACACGTGCACGAACGCCCAAGTAAGGAGACACAGACACACGCACACGTACAACTTTATACGTATATGCATACACACCACACACACCTGTTTATGTGAGTGTTACATATCTGCACTCCAAAACATGACATTGACAGCCCCTCCATGTCCTTGTTGAAGAAGTAGACTTGCCCAGTGCTGCGAGAGCGCACCCGCAGCCAGCCAGCCGGCAACGGGGGCTGATCGGCAAACTCCTTCTGCAGAGCTTGCCACTCCTGGACCGTCTTGCCTTGCCTTGGCGCCACAACGGGTGCAATGGCTGACGGCCAAGCGAGATTCAAAAGGCGATGCCAAATCCTTGCATCGAATATGGGAAAGACTCGGGCTCGGCTTGACGACTCAAAGGAATTCAGATGCGCACACACTATGTTCTTTGCACGGGCTTGAGGATTCCCTATTGGATTGGAGAAATGCCTTGCAAGCACCTCTGTCCAAATTTGAACGCTGTGCTTTCAACTTTCAACCAATTCTCCAACATCAAGCACAAGCCTAATGGACGTTAACGTTCAAGCGAATCAACACTACAAAGACTTTCTTGTCCCATCCCAACTCCCAAAAAGTTGATTCGTGTTCGAAGCTGTTCAGTGCGCCCTTACCCAACTCCTCGGACTCAGCTATGAGCCGCTCCATCTCTCTGTCTGATACGGCCGCCTCGATGGACTTGAAATGAGGATTTCAAATGTTTTGCAGTTAGGGGATGGCCGCCCTTGTCTTGGTTGATTTTGCTTCTAGTGAGACAGCACCAATTGTGTTCTGCCCTTTCACACAGGTTGGGCAATGCAATGTTCAGGTGGATGCAGTTTGATTTTCACATTTCGGCATGCGGCAACGTGCTCGCCAACGATCAAACGTTTGGCCTAGCATTTTTTCCTGCACCCCGCTTACCATGCTCCTTCCGTGCGCACCGTACCCGTGAGTTCTCCATCAGTTTTCCATCAAGCCGGATATCCAAGGCAGTCCTCGCAATATGCCGACAGGCCTCAACAGCCGAGTTGCACTTGCTGCTCCAAGCCCTGGCGGGCAGAAACACCAGCGTCGAAGACCGCCAACGAAATACACACGTGTGCACAGGACTAAACATATGTGACCATGATGTGTATGTTTGTGTGTCTAGTATTATAGTATAAAAGGTGATTCTATCTTAGGCGAAATGTTGTGCTATGTGGCGTGGGTGGCGTGGTGTGCCATAACGTTATGTGATGTCATGACTTTTAGGTCTGGCTGCATGTATGCAGGTATGCGGTAGGTCTTTCGTCATTGTGCATGCATGTTTGTATGGTGTGGACAAAATACTATCAAATCCGAAGTGGAAACACGGTGGGAGTATGTAGATGCGTATAACGCATGTATACATTAACGCATGGCACATGTACGCATCTATGTATGCATGTAGATTCGTACGTAAGCCGCTCCCCGCAACTAGTCAATTATCATGTTGATGTCGCCTTTTAAATTCGAAGGCACAACTTCCCAAAAAAGTGCTTTGAACAACTCCAGTAAGATTCCATACCCGGCAGTTTGCGCCCAGCAAAGGAGGGGGACCCCGCTTGGACGAGGACCGTAGTGGAAAGCCAACCATGAAGAAAGCACCCTCCCGCACATATGCCCTACCTTCGGTACTCGTCATAGTTTCTTCCTACTGGCACAGCAATACTTGGCGAGTGAATTCCTACCTATCAGTGCCAGGTTGATATTATGTTCCACATTATCCTCGTCACAAACGCAAATGATGCTACGCTTGACAGCCGATCATGTCCCGCTGCCAACCTGACCCCATCCAGGCCTTCTGGGCACCTAGGGCATCCAGGTACTTGGCACCCGGGGCCTACAGCAAGCGGCACGAAGATAAATTGCCGGGGAGATGTTGAAATAACGGGGTGGTTGTCCGACGACCGGAAGGAAAGCAGGCACTTGAGCAAAATGAAGAGACCAAAACTTGTTTTTCCAAACAATAGCATGTGTTTGAAACCGGTTGTATTGCATGCGTTCATCACGCACAAAAGCCGGGTGAGCTTGATCGCCATTTCAATAAGGACGGAAGGAACTTCAACTCTCTTGACAGCTTCCTATTTTGTTTGAGCTGGTCAATCAAAAAGCACTCCACTCTGCAACGTGCACACACACGAAAACGTCTGACGATAGCAGGCCTGGCCTCTCCGAAGCAAAGCACGCCCTTGATGGTGGTCACCTAGTCTTGGCAGGTATGAACCCTGGACTAGCGCGAGGCCTTGCTGGCCATCTGCATTATTGCAGCTACATGTCGCATATGTTCCGGCATGTGACATCTTTTTGTCCTACAACAGCAACCCACCTCAAATAATACGGGCGGGAAGTTCATACATTCATAGGCTGCAACACAACTCCAAAAGCCTCTGTTCCTGTTGCAAAGCTCTTCCTCATTGCAATAACGATGGTCACAACACCTGATCTGTGAGAGTACTGGTTGAGTCTACCACAGAATTATTGTACTGCATGTATAATCACACATGTCAACCGCAAAACACAATTCTGATGTCTGGCCGCGTTCAGCGCACCTTGCCCCGACCTAGTGGCGTACTAGACCGACCACTGAGCGCTTAGCCACAGCATCCTTTGGCAGCAGCAAAGGGAAGATCTCAAAGTCCAACGAATCCTGCATGTCACAAACCGTGGTAAACACCTCCTCGAACATCGGCCAAGTGGTACAAACACACACACACACACACGTGCAAACACTTTTCAAACAACTCTATGGGACTCCAACAAGACGGGAATCTCATCATTGCACGTGGTACACACGTGGATGTAACACGGAGCAAACCACTCTCCAAACTCGTGGTCCACTTAGGTACCGGCCTTACACGTGCGGGCATCTTCAATTTACACGGTGTAGCTGCAAATGAATTTTCGCAACGACTGCAATGTCTGACTTGACCTGGCGTGCTTGCGCACAAACTGACAAATGAGCCGTGTCCCAAACGTGTCATGATTTGCTAAGTCGTGTCATTTTGATCACGCCACTAGCTTACGCCACCTGACGCGCGTGGAGTGTTTCCTTACGCGACACATTTGGAGGTTTTGCTTACGTTAATAGCTTACGCCACCTTACGCACGTGGATTTTTTGTTTATGCACAGGTCGATATGACACGACTCTTACTAACCATGTACACAGAGGTTTTGGACGCCGCTCAACTGTGATCCTTAGACATCAACTCGGGCTGAAGTAAATTATAAGAAACTCTGGCAGGCAGACACGCGTCCATAGCCAGCCCAAACACGAACACCCTCCTGCCCACACCCGCAGCCGCACCCGAAACCGCTCACCAAGCACACACACGGGCACACACATGCGCGTGCTCGCGCGGCACGCGTGGTGCGCGCGTGCGAGTGCACTACGCACGCCCGCACGTATGGTGTGGGGCCATGTGGGGCCTTATCATTTTTGGCTTGCTTACGCCGTGCCTACGCCGCCTGCGCCCAAAGCCACTCCGGAAAAAACGCCTACGTGAGACCACGTTGACTAAACGCTTGCCTATGCGACTACGCGACTTCGTGGCCTTTTCCGGTGCAAGCCAAGCGTAGAAAACGCCGTGCATGCACTTTTGCAGCTGCAGCTGGAAAATCATGGTGTAGTACACGAAGTGCGCTTTGGCAGCTCGAGCTCGAACGTCCGTCGCAACTTGTCAGTACAAGTGGGATAGAGATACACCTTGGCAGCTCAAGTCGAAAACCGCACGGAAGCCCCCCTCATTGGATCTTAGACGTCATGACTGCGCGTCGCTCACGCTGACTTTTTGAGTTTGGAAAACGAGCACCGTCAGAATTATTCATCCCTTCAAATCACATGCCATGTAGCGACCTATCGAATCGTCGCCCACACGACTGCCTACGCGAGCCTTCAGAACACGAGCCTCAGCGAAAAGCCTACGCGTCCCTACGCGGTTGTGGCCCTGTCAGTCAGATGCTACGCAACATGCAAACATGTCGCCACTAAGATGCGGGCCTTCATCCCCCAAAAAACGCTGCCCGCGTACACGCGCGTAAGCACGCACACACGCACGCACGGGCGTATGCACGCCCACCGCCCGCCGGCCCCCGCGCCTGCCTGCGCGGCGGGCATGCATGCACGCAGGCACGCACGCAGGCACGCACACGTGCATGCACACACGCACGTGCCAGCCGCCCCCTCACCCACCAACCCACAAACTGATGATCCAATGCAACGGCTCAGCATGCCTAGCATGCACTGTTTGTGAGTGTGCTCTGGGCTGCGGCGGGCGGCAAAAACATGGATACACTACAAGTACCGAAGCTGGAAGCACCATTGAACGAGCCGCATAACCAATCCAGGTACCCTATCAATATGTTCTTTTCCTGGGTCTTGTTTTTGTCCTCAAAAGGACCTGGACGCCAATATTAGATTTTGTTTTGGGTACATAAAAAAGGGAACGCCGCGCAACCTACGCGAGCCTACGCGAGCTGCATTTTTACAGTGTTTGAGCCCACGCGGAGGCAGTTCCTATGCAAACAAAAACTACGCAGGCACACTTTTCTCCAGCCTACGCGGCTCCGGGAACAAAACAACCTCTGGGCCTGGAACACTCCCTCCATCAGCTTCGATGCCCCAGCCTTGAAGCTCAGCGGCAGGCTGCGGAAGCCCAGTTGCTCCCGGATCCGCGTCTGCACCTCGCCGGGCGCGGCCACGCGGGCGCCCACGCCGTTCGCTTACGGCGAAATGAGCAAGCCGCAAGCTCAGACCACCTGAAACTTCTTCTTGTTGTGCAAGCACAATGTTGCTCAAGAATGGTGGTGCTTGGAGACCTCAACAAATCATACTTCCACCCAAACTCGCTCGCCTCGTCAAATGCCATTAGCTCCGCGTCTTTGTTTTAGGTACGCTAAACATGTCAAACAACACAGTACTCCCAAAGTCTTGTATTCCATCACCGGACAATACCTTTCCGCATTTGCCTCAACTGAACCCCGGCTGGCGCCTCTGACTAGGCAATTGGCTACATGACGGGGGCCTCCTTTACGCGACTTGCCAGGTCTACAGGCTAAGCCCGGCTAAGCCACTCGTGGGTCAGAAGGCTGATTGCCAGAGCCTGTGCCTTGGCTCAGATCGTAGGTGACCATTGTTTGATTCTGCTAGGCACGATGCATAAAATGCCATCCATGCAAACTTGCCGACACTGAACAGTGGTTGCTGATGGAACCGACAACATTAATAATGCAAAAAAGTAAAGTCTGGCTTGCCCTCATCTTGACACCTTCATGATTCTCGCTCGCAAAGTCTCATAACTAAACTGGAACACCACCCTGCCTCGCTCTGCCAAAGATTGTCTGACACTTCTAGGCCGCACTGTTCCTGAGGCTGTCACAGGACCCGTTAAAAAAAAGGAAACAAAAAAACGAGCCTGGGTGGGATGAGTGATCTGGATGAATAGGGGTTGTTCCGGATCGTTCGCTTGGAGGATGGCACCGCGGTGAATAAGCCCGGCATATCGGTCCGGGCTTTCAGTTTCAAGGCAATGGAGGGACCTCTTTCCTACTGTATCATCAACTCCAAGCACTGCCGGTGAGCGGGACTGGAGAGGTGGACAAAACGCTGACAAAGCTGACGCACATCCAGGGTGTGCGCAAGCTATTGCAATTGCATAAGCTTCATGTTGGAGCCGCTTGAGCGAGCAGAAAGCTAGAAGATGGGAGAGAGACAAGCCGAGAAGAAAACCGGCTAGGAGAGGAGAGTGGCAAGCTGAGAGAGAGAGAGAGAGAAAAAATGGGTCGGATAAGCCCAAAACGGAAGAGCGGAGACAATGTGGTTGCGGGCGAGCAGGAGCGGGCGGCGGACGAATAGCGGAACCTCTCGCTGGCACGGCTTTCGTGATACAGGCACCCTCAGCTACAAAACTGCTTGTAGACACGGCCGCGAAAAGTACGTCTGTGGTATTTGGATCAGTTAATACAAGACGGGGAAGCATTCCACACATGGTGGTGATGTTTGTTGGAATCGGCAGGCTGCATTCACGGTCTGATAAGCATCGCTGCCAAATGCTGCGTAACAAGGCCTCACTGACCGTGGACTACTGACCACGCGTTTGCTGTGTCCTTGAGCTGAACCATTCCCTGGCAGCGTATGTAGTGACGCCTGGTTATTGAGGTCATGACGAAGTACATGTTGCATTGAGATTGCATGGAGACCCAGCCGCTTCTTTTTCGAGGTCTTTTAGGCCTTCTGAGAAACGCGTTGTTGAAGTGAACCAACCAGTCAGACGTTGTGATAGATCGAGTTGCTAGTCGCATTCCACAATAGACAATATCTGCTGTATTTATGTATATGTTTCACACGTGCATTGCCCATCGAAGGTTGGAGGTCGACATGTTTTTTCGCGGGGGCCGAGATGGGCGCAGAGATCCTGAGCTGCCTCCCATCCAAGGCTCGCCCAGCGCCTTGCGCGCAGCGTCATTGGTGCTTCCTAGAGGGCCCTCAGCCTGGCCAGCACTGTACCCCTTCAGCTGAAGTGCTCTCATATTGACACGGCATATTACATGCTTGCACATATTATGTGTATATATATATATATATGTATTAATATATACTCAGATGCCCGAAGAAAAGGGACATCCTTGTTGATTGGTTGACTTTACTGGGGGACCCTTCCCAAAAAAGGAGGGAAAAAGGGCACCACTGGGCAACTGGGCATATATACCATATATGGGTGTGGGTCAAAAATAGGTACCTAAAATGGAACTCTGGTAAATGGAAACAAGGACTAAAACCTGCGGTCTCCTGGTGTTTAAGTCTTGACCCAAATATGTGTATATACACATAAATACATATGCCCATGTTGCTACCCTTGTTTTACACAATATCCATACGCCCTCAGGGAGGCGCTCGGAGTATGGCAAGTTGTCCGGACGCCTGGCTGTTTCAGATGGGAGCTATGGATTTAAACTGAGCTCTTTTAACCTCAGGGAAACAGAGGTTCCCTCTTGTCTGGCTTTAAACTGAGCTCGTGTATCCTTAGAGTTGAAGACAGAGTCTTAGGTGTCTACAGCTGGTGAATGGTCCACCCATGAGCCAAGGACAGCACTTGCCCCATGTGACTCCATCGCGGTCAATGGCCTCTCCGAAGGCGGTGACGCAGACATCGATCTGGTTCCAAACGTCTCTCCTACCAGGGGGCTGGTGGGTCAAAATCCCATACCCCCAGTGAACATCCGATTCAATCCAAGCACTAAAATAGGTCCTAAAATGGGTGCACCTACCCCAAAATGGAACTATTGGTTTTGACCCACAGCCATCTGTTCCCAACATCCAACCTACATGGAAATTGTAGCGGCACTTGTTTGAAGGAGCAGGTACTATGTTCAAAGCGACCAACGGAAAGAACTACCAGACGAGAGATCTCACTCTGAATTCAAAGTTGGGATGTCGATTTGAAGCAAGGGGACCCCAATCCGTCATCCTGAGGGTCTCCTGGGGCTCTTGGAAACACCGCACCCATCTTCGACCTGAGCCACTCCTTCGGAGGGCTTCTGCCGGGCTGGCTGCCTCAATGGCATTCCAGTCATAGGGCAAGTGCACCGAGGCCAAGCAAAAGTAGTCCTCTCAAGCAGGAAGGGCTAACTTCAAACTTCATGGCCAAAGCATGCAGAGAAGCAAAGTAGCTGCCCCAGTTAACAGAAGACACGCAATCGCGTGAAAACAGAAATGAAACCAACCATTTAGAGAAGTCCGGCATGGATTATTGACTCTCTGGAGTCCGCTGCTCAGTGTCTTCTGCTATCACTACAAAATCATGGCCACATCGCACTCGTCTTTGCCCTTCACACATATCCAAACAAACATGCAGGGAATGCACCCAACACGAGCAAGCCGCGGGATGCGTGGTTGCTGGCTCATGATCTAGAAGTGTGCGCGCAAAGAAGTAGACATTCGACACGAAACTGCCTAGTCTGTAGCAAGGCTCCACCATAGCTTCAACCATAACTTGTCGGACCTGCACCTATGTTTCGTTTGGAGTCGCACGTGTATGCGCATATGCATGTACGCATGTATGTACGCATGTACGTCGGTTGTATGTATGTGTGCAATGTAATCTAGTGTAACGTAATCTGCCGTAAGATCACGTAACGTAACCAAACGTAATGTGTATTCGTGACTGTGTGTATGTGTGTATGCGTGTCTGAGTGTCTGTGTAAATGTGGGTATGCATGAATGTGTGCGCGTACAATGTGTGTTGTGGTGTCTGTGTGGGTGTGGGTGTTGGTGTTTGTTTGTTTGTTTGCTTGCTTGCTTGTTTGTTTGTTTGTTGATTGATTGATTGCTTGCTTGCTTGATTGATTGATTGATTGTTTGATTGACCGATTGATTGATTGATTGATTGATTGATTGATTGATTGTTTGATTGATTGATTGATTGATTGATTGATTGATTGTTTGATTGATTGATTGATTGATTGATTGATTGATTGATTGATTGATTGATTGATTGATTGATTGATTGATTGATTGATTGATTGATTGATTGATTGATTGATTGATTGATTGATTGATTGATTGACTGATTGATTGATTGTTTGTGTTTGTGTTTGTGCTAGTGTGTGCGTGTGCGTGTGCGTGTGCGTGTGCGTGTGCGTGTGCGTGTGCGTGTGCATGCGCGTGTGTGAGTGTGTGTGTGTGTCTCTGTGTTTGTGCGCACGTGTGTATGTGTGTGTGTGCGCGTGCGCGTGTGTGTGTGTGTGTGTGGGTGCGTGCGTGCGTGCGTGCGTGCGTGCGTGCGTGCGTGTGTGCGTGTGTGGGAGTGTGCGTGTGTGTGTGTGTGTGTGTCTCTGCGTCTGTGTGTTTGTGTGTCTGTGTGTGTGTCTGTGTGTGTCTGTCTGTGTCTGTCTGTGTCCCGTGCGTGTGTCTGTGTGGGTGTGTATGTCTGTGTGTGTGTGTCAGTCTGTGTGTGTGTGCCTGTGCGTTTGTTTGTCTGTGAATCTGAGTGTGTGTGTGTGCGCGTGTGTGCATGTGTGGGTGTGTGCGTGTGGGTGGGTGTGTGTGGTGTGGGTGGGTGGGTGAGGGTCTGTGTGTGTGTGTGTGTCTGCGCCTGTCCTTATCTGGGTCTGTGTCTGTGTCAATGTGTAAGTGTGTCTGCGTGTGTCTGTGTCTGTGTCTGTGTTTTTGTCTGTCTGTCTGTCTGTCTGTCCTGTCTGTCTGCCTGTCTGCCTGCCTACCTGCCTGCCTGTCTGTCCAACTGTCCTGTCTGTCTCTCTGTCTCTGTCTCTGTCTCTGTTTCCGTCCGTCGATCTGTCCGTCCGTCTGTGTGTCTGTGTTTCTGTCTGTCTGTCTGTCCGTCCGTCCGTCTGTCTGTCTGACTGTCTGTCTGCACTGTCTGGTCTGCATGCATGGATGCGCATGTGTGTCGATGTGTGCCGTATGTATGTGTAGAACACATGCATGTACATGCTTGTCCGGCACTTCTCCCGTTTCCGCAGTCAAACTCCACGTGAGCACCACGGTGGAAGGTCGGCCAATTGGCAAACAATGCTGCGTGCGCGCTTTGGCAATCCCCAGAAATTGAAACATCCTTGGCATTTCCTGCTTAAAGGAGCGGCACTTCCCTGCTTAAAGGGGCTATGTGGTGCTTATTAAGTCGCCAGTAAGCCTGGTTATAACCCACTGAAGGGAGACTTATAACCATGGCTTTTGTGGGTTATCTCACACTTGCCTCCCATACAATGTTCACTTACCCACTTAACCATGGTTGTAACCCATTTAACCATGGTTGTTACCCACTTCTGACCCACTTAGATGAAAAAACCCTACTCATAATCCACAAAAACAACCCATTTACCCACAAACAACAACCACTTCTTAGCCAGTGGCACCCTGGACTTTGGGTTCTCCACTCACCTTCGATCCAACCGGCCTCCAGCTTTAAGAGCTGCTCGCCCAGCTGCTTGGCCGCTTGCTTCCTGAGGCTCGGGGGGTCTCGGGGTTGAGAGTTACAGTGAATGCCCGTTTGGAGTGGGCAAAAAAAGGGAAACAAAAAAACAAGCACACCGGCAAACCGCGAAAAGATAATTATAATTATTGTTATTTAGTTATGTATATTATTTATTGATTGGATTATTAATTCATGTATGTATTTGTTTTGCTTTTTGTGGGGGTTGTATTTGGACACCTCGAATTCTTCCAAAGTCAGGACGGCCATCCAAGCGGCAGCTGCGCCACCCGGATCCCCACCTTGATGTCGCTGCGGAGCCGGGCTGCGAGCTCCCGCAGGCCTTCAGAGTAGAAGTGGGCAAGCCGGTAACGCAACCAAATTCAACCATGGGTTTACTTGGCGGCCCTCAGATCCCCCGCTAAAAGTGACTAACTTTTAGTGGGTTAAATGGAAAGCCGGCAGCTTGGTTGCAGTTGAACCATCTGCAAAAAGACGTTCACTTTTTGTCTTGGTTGACGTTGGAAGGGGAGCAACAATTTGAATTTCAGCTGTTAAGTTGGGATTTCAACAACTAAACCACAATAAGCAAAAATGTAAAATGTGTCCCAACAACCATGAAGTTGTGGGTTTAGTGGAGAACCCCTTGCCTTCACAACAGTTAAAGTCTAAAGATCCAACCCAATAGCAGTCAAGGCAGGTAACGCAACAAAATTCAACCGTGGTTTTACAGGCAGAAAAGCAGGTGTGGAGGTGATGCAACAAAAAAACAGCAGGAATTCAACCATGGTTTTTACAGGTAGAAAAACAGGTCTGGAGGTATTGCAACAAAAAAACAACAGGTAATTTATGCAGGTAATCCATGGCAGAAAAACAAAAAACAAAAACAAAAACAGTTTGGAGCACCAAATGATTGAAGAGTCTCATTATCACACATCAGTTGCAGGTGTCCCCTTGAATTGAACCTAGATCCGTGGCAAGCAGACAACAGCTGCATTAAATTGACGTCGCGCTCAAACAAGACTTTGGTTGGCGCAACGGCAGGCAATAGAGCAGGCACGGACAAAATGATCCACAGTTGCGGCGAGACTGGCGGTTTGATTTGTTAAGGGGCGTCACCAAGGATCCCTTAAGCCGGACCCCGTACATTGCAGGCGAAGCAGGCGGTATCAAAGCCGGGAACATTCGACACCCCTCGCCTGACTCCACGCCCTGCATGGCGCATTTTGCCAGCCCATCGATGCAGCTCCTGCTCGGAATAGCCAGCAACTGCTGCGGAGTCGTCCGCTCCTGGCGCGGGCGGGACGACGATTTTGAGCAGTATGACCAAGTCTTTTCAGCAGCTGACGGAAGGTTTGATGAAGAGAAAGGAGCACTTCGCAACATTCAATGCGGCATGCTGGAGATTCGTGACAAACTACATGGGCATGGTACTTCCAACTCCAATCAATACACAAAGCATCTGTAAACACATCCAAATTCAATGAGTTGCAAAAGCATTTTGCACTTCAAGGATCCTCCATGTTGGACTGACCAAAGTGGTGGATGATCTTCACCATCTGCTTCTCTGTGCCTGCGAAGCACGAGTGTCAGTGACAGGCAGGTATCTTGGATAAACAAACAAGTGGGGATACGGTGATACGGAGGGAGCGGGGATAGGGGATTCCCTTGGCGCCATTTCCCATATCAAACTTCGTCAAGGTGCATTCAGGGGGAATCCTCCCGTATCCGTGCTACTTCGTTTGCCTGAGTATCCTCCCCTGAATCTTAGGGCAACCTGACTGCAATAGCCCAAGGAAGCCACCAGCTCATGCCGCTCGCCACGCCAGCTTGGCACTGCTATAGAATATCTGGGATGTCCAGGCTGACTGCTTGGTGCCCATACTTTGGACATGATTCATACCGTAGGCGTTCTAACAGTCCAGCCAAACTGACAACCACGTGCCAGCTCAGGGCTTGAGCTTCCCTAACTTCGGAGCAACCAAGTGACCAAATGGCAGGTTCCGCAGCCAGTTCAACCCCTCCTTATGTGGGTGGGTCAAAAATAGGGTAACCCCAAAATGGCTTGCCCTGTACATGGAAACAACGACTAAACCTGCGGTCCAATTCCTGGTGGCTTTTGTATTGACCCATACCCAAGTACCAAGCATTTCGAGTCTGCCCGCGCCTAGCAACAGCACGCCGCCACGTGCAAAGCACACTTGGTCCTGGTCCTCCGTGGTAGCTTCCACCGGTGCCTGCAGCAAACCGAGACCAGTTGGGTTGCATTGCCCGGTCCGGCAAAAAATTGGCTCCATGCGCCTGGAATGAAAGCAACCAGGACTCACTCAACAGCCAAGTTTGTTTTGAAATGTTGGGGCGATGTTGGTGCGGGAGTCTGCTTTGTGCAAACTGGGAAGCAACAAAAAGGCGACCTTGTCAGACTCAACACATCTCTGAAGAATGCGCCACCTTCATCAGTTACTTGGCTAATTTCCTCAGCACCAGTGGGGCTAAGAAACACCCCTCTTGCCAATTTCCATGCTGGGAGCGATGATGCTCAACGCAACAATAATGAAACCCATTGAGCAAACGGATCCAAAAGGGGGGTCGTCGCCAAAACCTGTCAACTGAATCCAAACATGGCATCCTCAAAGCAGACACACCCACCCTTGCTTGCTGTTGACCCCCTCCACACAAAGTTTCACTTTTTGCGGGGGTACATGGAACAAAACCTTGACTTCCCAAAAGGTTGAGGTCTATAGATCCTTTTTTCGGGGTTAAATGGAAAACCCTTGGGACATCCCACAAAGTTGAAGTTTAAATCCGACCTACTAGCCTAGGTCCTCCAGTAGAGAGGTTAGAATAAGGGTTTTTCTTCAACAGCTCAAAGCTTTGGGGTCTCAGCCCAGATACGCTCGGGGTGGTCTGGGGCGGCCCCAAGGTAAGGTTCCACGAGGGTTCCACCAGCATTCCACGACATTCTGCGAGGGCTGCGGGGTGGTGCGGCGCCGCATGCTGTTGGGGATATCACCTGAGCTTATTTCTGTAGTCTATGAGTAGGGGAACCCTCCCAACCAAAAAAGAAACGGTGAAGGGCGCCAATTGCTGGGGGATCTAGTAGCCATCCAGCACCTTCCTTCTGCCTGAGGTCGCCACCAGCTGAAGATCTGCACAGCTGAAGTCGATGATCTCCCCCGAGGCATCCCGCACCACGTCGCCGGTGTCCTAGCGACGATTCTGGCTGCAACCAATGAGGAAGGGGCAACGATTCTGTCTCAAACGTTGGGGGGTTGGGGGGGGGGGGTTGGGGGTTGGTTGGGGGTTGGTTGGGGGTTGGTTGGGGGTTGGTTGGGGGTTGGTTGGGGGTTGGAAGATTGGGCTGGGTTTGGGGGCTGGGGGTGGGGGGGGGCATGGCTCGGGGGGGCTCGAGGGTCTTACTTTTGGGGACCACCATGAACCACAATTTGTGGTTTTGACTCATTTGACCATGGCGCGCATGAAATGTGGTGAATGACTATTGCCTTTTACGAATCCTTCCCCAGCATCAGTGAAACGGGCTCGAAAGACCCGAAAGGCCACCAATTGATGCATACTGCTACTGGCACAAGATTCCAATGCCCAAACGGTACAATGCGAAGCGAGGAACTTGTGATATCCAGGGCAGCGCGCGCACGTCGCTCCGCTTCTGTTTTGTGAGGAAGCCATACGAAAGTGCCAGAGCAACCCCTCCCCACCCGCTCAAAACAACAGGACGCCCCTATCTGGAACCTGTTCTGGGTGAATTATAACGACCTCACACGGCCTCAGCCCAAATGGTGGTTTATGTGGGGAATAGCCCCCTAAGCACCTTATTTCAGGCTGGTGAAATATTATAATTCGCCCCGAACTGTTGGATCGGCCAAAGGCAAACTTCCATTTGGTTAAGACCCCTGGAACAAATAAATATATTCCCAGTTGTGATAAATTCCTTTTAAAACCAACAAGGCAACATAACAACTATTCTTAAGCAAATGGAAGCTTTTGCATGCGGCATCTTCCGTCTGGTGCTGTCCTGGTCCTCCACCCAATACTGGTCCACCTCCTCAAAGGACTCGTAGATTCTGCCCCGACCGCCCGCGTACAGCACCGCGGTGCCGATCTCCAGCTCACCTGAAATCCAAGCCTTGACCAAAACCGACAATGCACACGGGCCCGGGGTCACACACGCAAGCAAAGTGTGCGAAATATATGGCTCCTTTTCACTTGGAGGTGAATGCTTGATTTCAAATGATGGCACCACTGGAAAAGATTTCCAGCACCTCCGTGTCATGAAACTGTGCCTGTCCGAAGGCTAGCACACTTAGCTTCCGAGGCCATGTGTCACAGTCGAAAGCAAGGATTAAGCAATCATGACGGTTCTTCTTGACAGTTGCCTTAGCCGACATGAAGGCATGCATCTGGGGAGGTTAGCCTCTGGCAAGCAAAACCAACCAAGCAACAGCGCTTCTACGAACGGAGATGTGTGCCTGCAGACGCAGTTGTAGGCGCGCAATTGATGATTGTTAGAACCCCCGTCTCAAGTACTTGCGATCCTTCCGCGACGGACATAGATCCAGGCGTACACCGAGGTGTTCTTCCAACATCCAACAAGTGGTCAGCTTCTTTTGCCGTGGTGTCCTTTCTCCACAAATATTTGATGACACTGCTTCAGCATGCTTCGTCTCGCCCTGTGCCTCTGAGCTAAGCCAGAAGTTGATTCAGAAGGCCCGACAAAACTGCACTGTGGCTACTACTGCAGCAAATAAGCCTGAGGTCATAATGAATCAAATCGGCAGCTAAAGAAAGTCACCCCAGGAAAGCATAATCAACGCGACCAATGTTTGCTTTTCCATGGTGACAAGGCAAAGTAAAGCCTTGCCCTTCTGTCGAAGCAAGAGACGCTCGGTGAGTGGCATGCTTCACAGCCACTTTGAGCCAACATATCGTCGACCTGTTACTTCAAACAAAAAGCTGCCCCCGTAAACTGCAGGCATCCCATTTTGCGCTCATGCTGAGAGCTTGACTAAGGTACTTCCCTTCAATGACATGGGAATTCGCTGAAAAATCGACTGTGGCGACATTATTTCATGTCCAAGCAAACTCATTTTAAATGCACATGGGCAATGGCACCGCAGCCAGCGAATCGGCCCAGCTCCGCCCCTTTGCCTGGTGCGGCGGGGCGTGCATCCTCCGTCTTGCGCTTCTTGCTAGGCATTGCAGGCATCAGGCGAAGCAAGTACTAACGGCTCAATAAACCTTCAAAGCACTGTGTACATCGAACAAACCATTTCTTTTGGTCTGAAACGCCATTAGGGCTTCTATGGGCCTGAAAAGGGCCAAAACCGAAATGCATGGCGGATGCTGAGCGCGAAGGCAGCTCAAAGCGCTGCGTGCAGCCATACAGTACCGATTCAGGTGCGATGGGTGGCACAATCCCCCAGTAATGAACTACAGGGAGGGCGCGTACATGTTTGTGAGGCTGCAATAAAACAAACAACAAAACATGCCCAGGTCGAGTTCACTTGGCCGATCTCAAGCATCTAGTGCCGAATTGAGCCACCTTTATCGGTGTTGCACGTGGTACCCCCTTGGCAACTGGTGCTTCTGAGTGAAGCTGAAAGGCGGCGGAATGGCACAGGCGCAGTGTCCCGCGCCAACACCTCATCCAAGGCATCTGAGACTCTTGCTTGCTCCGCGCAATAAGCAAGAACTTGTGCACGGGGATAACCTCGTGCCGGCCACTTGCAATGCTCTGTGGCCGTATTCTTGCGTGGAATTGGAGATGGTGAGTTTGTGCTTTTCTTTGTATTATTTTTTTGGGGGGGAGTACCCATTTTACCTTGGGTGTAAGGGAACCAAAAGGACAACCACCATTTGTCGGGTCCCCCTGCTTTGACACATACTCTACCTACGTATCCATTATCTGGTCGCATCGCGCCCTTCCATCGAGCCACCCCGCAGACAGCCAGGGGACAACACATGGCTTGTCTCGCACATCAATCATTTATTGTCTGTTTTCCGCCCGATCAATAAACCCGATGAGTCAAGACTTCCTGACTGTCCCTTTTCAAAAGGCCCAGTTTCTGCCAAACTTTTATAAAGGCACCCACAAGGTTTGGTAACATGACTCACCCTGATCTGTTTCTGGCACCCACCAGCACTCGATTCAAGACCCCGATTTTAACTATCCAACGAAAAACACCGTACGGACAATCACAATGTCACATCACACAAGCTAATGCCAAAACTTCAGCACTGCACACTGCCTCCTTTCACAATGCCAAGGATTGCCAATCCAAACGTCGACTAAATACTGTCCGAAAACCGCAAACGCATTCATGAAGTCTGTTAAACATAATATGGGCAGTCCCCTTCAAGCCCAGGTCGCCCTCCCGCATCCGGTGTTCAAAACCTTGACCCCGACAAAGGAGGGAAAATCTGACCAGCGGGAAGCATTGGCACTGCCGGGTCGTGGAGTTGCGAGCAAGTTTGCCGATCGACTACAACCCATGTCAAGTTTGATTCACTTTGTTGCCGATGATGGCCAGCAAAGCATGTACCAGGCCCAATCATACCACCACTTCGCCACTTGCATGGCAGACTTTGGAAGCGTCCCGAGGGTGCCCGCTGCACATCCCAAGGCGCGGTTAAATCAAGAAATCCCCAGCGTCGAGTCAACGCATCGCCTGGCCTCATCTTGCACAACCACTTCAAAATCAGGAGCTATCTCCTCAACCAGCAGCCTCCGTAAGTCCTGCGCATTTTTGTGCTGCAAGCACAAATGCGGATCGTTTCGTAAAAAATGAGCCACACAAGAGTCACAATCAAAACCTGGTACAAAAATGGTGAACCCAGAACCATGTAAAGAATTGGAAAGGCGGCCGCAACTATTTCCGGCTGGGACTGCCCCTTACTAAGCTTCATCTACCCGGGTTTTGATTGTGGCTCGAGACCTGCAGCAATGCACAACTCTCACATGGCCTGCTCAAAGCAACCTCTAGCCTTTGCTTCTGGCGCCGAGTGCCGCAGATCTGTTGAACTCGCTTCAAGCATCCCCCGCAAACCAAAACAATCGACGCCAGACCTTGACACCATGTATTCCCAAGAGCTAAGCTCCCCTTCAAGTTGCAACATTCAAGCGGTTGCTTTGTGGGTGAAGGCACTTTTGCCCTCTCTCCGACTCCGCACCTTAAAGTATAGGTTTCCAACAAGCTTTTGCACGTCTGCGCCAGTATAATTCAGTCTACGCAATATGACATCATCAGCATTGTTTCCATATCAGATTGAACCAACCTGTCAGGTGTGCAATCATTCTAGTTGTCCTGAGACGGGTAGTGGGCCCGCAAAAGAACTGGCTTCCGTTTGGTTTTGCACAAACCACAAAGGGGTTCCCATAAATCTGGCACGTCTTTTGGCTCAAGCCACCCAAACCGTGTTTTCATGGCCTGCGCCAAGGTATCCGGAGGCAAAGACCTGAGAGGTGAGTGAGCAAAACAAAAAGTCGGCTTCCAGTGTGTGAATTTTAATAGGGGCTCCTTTGGACATCATTTAGGTTTTGATTTGTGTCCACCAATCATTTTGGAGGTTCCTTGAAATTCATTGCCAGATGTGGGAACTGGGGCTGAGGGGGTTGACGCAGTTCAATTTATATCACTTTGGCGCGCAAAGCAGCCCCACAACAACCGCGAAAGCGCGCAGAAAACTTTGAAGACACGCCTTTTGCAAAGATCTTATTTGTCCACGAATGGTTCGTGCATGTGCCATGCAACAGTTGTTCCTGTATTCTTTGTCAACACGAGTTGTTCCTTTAGTAAGCTTGTCTTGCGATGGAGCGTGGCCTTGATAAACATTGACAGCAGCCTGAGAAGAGAAACCGCGGCTTAGTTGAAACACCAACTAGCAACAACATCAACACCGTCAACAGCAGCAATAAGTCAGACAAACCAAAGAAATAATGTGTGGCAGCACACGCATCAATAAGATAGATTCAGCCAATGCATCAGTGCAATCTACAAAGTCACTAAGTATTCAACCCCAGCAGAAACTCACATACATGTAAGATGACAAGACCACCGTAAGTGATTGGCTGAATTGGAGGGAGTGGAAGGACTTCGCACGCAACCACTAAGTATCCGGGCCCAAGTTGTCTTTTTGGATGCGCGAGTATGTGTTGCAGGAATCGACAAAAATAGGGGCCCTCATGTAAATACTTCGAAACTATGATGCAATGAATGATAAAGAAACGTGAAAGCAGTATTATATGGAGTCCTGCACCACCCAACATATGTACATACAAGAACGAGGAACCAAGATATGAGGGCAGGTTCATGCCACGTTCAATGCTTCATGCGACCAATGGAAAGTGACTCATCCCCTATGTGCGGCTCAAAGCTTACGACTCTGCCCATTGGACTTCCGTATCACAGCTCTTGCTCTTTGAGCTCAGTTCTTAGCCGTGCAGGCAACGCAGGTTCCAGTGGTCGCAACACACAATCTGTGAGAGCCCCGAATGGACATGGGACACCACATTGCGCTGCATCCTTTTCACAGCAGCCACAGAATCAACAATGGCAACAGCACGAACACTTGCCAGCAAGCGGAGTTGACTAGCTCGGGGCGCGGCGCGTCTTTGGTTTTGACCGAGTCCTGCGCACCCCACTGTGACATTAAATGATTGCAACAATGGATTACGCTCTGCAAGAACCAGAAACACAAAGTGCCACCCAGTTGGATCACTTGCTGCCGCCTTTCTTAAGTGAGAGTTAAGCTGAATCCGTCCCAGTTGCCGATCTGCGTTCTGAAATAACCGAATGTATTCTATGCTTTCATGCGTACTATTCCAACACACACACACACACGCACGCAATCGCACACCTTGAACACTTGCAAGTCTACTCACCCACTTCACAATTTAATCACGCCCGGTGAGGCCGTCCAATCCTTCAGTCCCAAGATCACAAAGTAGTCAATTCTATATCACGGCACGAGTCATTTTCATCACGGGTTGCTTTGCTAGCAATGTTTAGGGAATGCATGGGACATCCGGAGACCCATTCATCTCACCTAGGTCCTCCAGTAGAGAGCTTAGAATCCGGTTACCAACTTTTTTCTGCAGTCTACATTTAATAGGGGAACCCTCCCCCCAAAAAAGAAGCGGTGAGAAAGGGCACCAATTGCTGTGGGACCTTGTCACTCTGACGTACCTTGCCCTCTCCGATCCTCCTCGCGCCAGGGACTCGATGCCTGAAGTGCGCGAGGCAAGAGGAACTTGCAGCGGGCGGTCAAACGTATGGACCTCTGGACCTCTTTTTGAACCTTGTTTAAAGGCGGGCCCCACATAGACCATGGCCAAAAACGGGTTAAGTCCAGAGAAGCTACATCTCTTCGTTGTTTTTTTTAAAGATAACTAAGGCATGGGATGGACACAAGTCAAAGTGGGCATACTGTACAAGGGGGCTGACCACGAAACGCAGTCCCGGCCTGAATATATTTGAGGTTGATTGTTGGGTATACGATTCTAACAATTGGTGTGTGACATGCCGAACTCAACACCTTCGTCGTGGCAAGCTCATGGGAGACATGTCCCTTAGTGGCATGACAGGCTCCCCATTGATGACTCCAACGAAAAGCCGATTCCTGTTGCCCCATGTACTCACGTTCAACCAAATGATCCTGAATTGGCAACTGCAATGAGGTGTGTCTTGAGGGCTTGAGGGTACCTCTAAAAGTATCATCGGTGAGATTGAGCTACGCCCTGTTCCGAGCTTCCGAAGGCACGTAAAACATCGCATCAGTTCGCCCAAGCATAAGTCATGTATAGTCATGTTCCCTCAAAGGACCTTTTTCTGTTGGCAAGTACATCACGCACAATGTCTTAATTGCTCAGTTGCTCGAAATCGCTCGATATCAAGCAGGGAGCGGCACAACACTCAGCACACAAGTGCAGTTGACCATGTGTCTGTGTGTATACGTCCTGCATGCCCGCAGTGTGTGCTGCAATGGAAACAACATTCACGTCTGCGGAGAGGTGTTCCACATTGAACATGCAGTTAAATTAAAGCCTAAATAAACTTGTCAAGAAACAAATGGTCTCTATTTCTGCTTGGAGAGAATCCTGATGGCTATAAAAATCATAGGTGCGGGTCGGAAAATCCATGTGCTTGGCTCACAACTGCTTGCTGAACCGACCAAATCCGCGCCCCTCAGCTAGTCCTAGGCACTTAGGCACCCTGCGGTCCGCTTGCCTCGGCG